TATTCTGGGGTTATCAGGACCATTTCGAGATATTCGAGACTATTTCGGAATTTTCGTTATATTTATAGATCTTGTTATGGATATTGTTTACGATATACTTATCGGTATTGTCATTGACGTAATAATCGATTTTGATTATGATATATTTATAAGTATTTTTATTGATATCGATTATGATATCTATATATATTTTTATCGATATTGTTATGTATTTATGAACATTTTTATCGATATTGTTATTGATATATTTATGAACATATCTATAGATAGTGCTATCGATATTTTTATCGAATTTTTTATCAATATTTCTATCGTTGAACGAAAAGGATAGAGGTAGGCATAAAGATAGAAAGAAAAAAATATGTATATCCTTAAGCTTTTAATATTTTATATTAACTAGCCGGTCGTTTTATTCACAATTTCGAACCAATTAAATGCATTTGTCTGTATATAGGTACTATGTATGTATATTCGTTATGAGACAAACTAAATAGATATGTAACGTAAGTTCACTTCTCCATCGTGGCCCAGGCGCACTTTTTTTAATTAGGCAAAATTTTGTAAATTAATAAAAATAATTTTATTTTTTTTAAATATAGTTCATATTAAAACGAAAACTGTATAAATCAAAGTTTCAAACTTTGTAAGATAGAAAATATCAAATTTTATCAAAATTTTAAACTTTTTGATCAAAATGTTTAGGAAAATTTCGGGTATGCAGTTTCGTTTGTATAGTACATATGAACTATGTTTAAAAACCAAGTAATTAAAAAAAATGTAAACAGCTATTATTATTGGTTTATAAAAAGTCGATCACCAAACCATCCAACGACTACATTTTTTGTGGAATTATTTGTTTCCACGTTGTAAATTTAAAACAAATCGCATCGTTTTCGAAACACCTCGACTCCTGCGCCATCTAGCGGACTAATTCATATTTCATTGTCATCGGGTCCTGAGTTAAATTTAAAGTTTCAAGGCTCTAGCTCATCGGGAAGTTGGTTAAAAATTGATAGCAAAATTTAATTACACAGGTTGTAAAGCTTGTAAAAATATTTTTATTAATTTACATTCGAGAACGCCAGTGTAGTTATAATGTATTTCATTGCGTTAATTTTGTTTATAAACCAAAACGTGCGCTGTTGCATAACGAATCTCGTCACATACATGTTAGTACGTACATACAAACGGGCATACTACATACATACTCGCTTTTTCATAAAGGCAATACAACGCTTCAAATTCACTGGATCGACATGAATATACTTCCGTTTCAGCTTCTCCTCTGTTCCATGCTCGCTTTCAGTACAGCCACTGCCCAGTAGCCACCATGAATCTGCCCACAAATTGTATTGTCTTCCAGCTGTGCTTTGTTGCTGCTTATCAGCCGCATCTGGCAGAGATGCCGCGCTGATAAGTGGGATGCTCGTGTTGCATATTGCATGGCTCATGAGCACACCCAACATGCAAACATATTGACTGCCCAACTGCTCATCTTTTTCCAGCTGACCAGCTGGCCAGCTGCTTTGTTGCTGCCCACTGTGCTGGCCTTGCCACAATCGGTTATTGAGGCACCTAATTCAGTTCGTTCGCTCTGCGTTGGCGTTGGCGTTTCCGCATTCTGACTTGCACCGCAACCGTTCTGAACTGTTCCAACTAATAGGCACTTGATAGGTAGGCATTTCATAATTTGCCATACTACCGCAATTGATTGCTGTCCGAAAAAGTTAGATACTGAAATAGTATGTCGAATAATTCAAGCAAACGCCAGTTAGCAGAATGGAAAATTTGAAAGGCAAATCATAAGTTCGTTCTCAATTTATGTTTTCCTTTTATTCAGCCAGTGGTAGCTGGCATTTGAGAAATAATCTTGATTGCGCAAATCGAGTAGCCAGCCGCAGCGAAATCGAAGTATAGTATGCCATAAGCTAACAATTCGTTGCAAATCGTTTATGTGTACCTGTTGTCAGTCAACTGGCTTTGAACGGTGCACCACCCAGCGGTTAACCATCAACCAGTTTTCTTATGATTTTACTTGATGCACCAGCGATTTCACCAAAAAACATGAGACATTACCATAATGCACTTTTTAGCGAATTTCATATTTAGCTTCCAGTTTCCCATCTGCGTGAATTCTTGGGCATTTAGGGAGTCTGCCGAAGGGTTTGGTCTTTCTGATGTTGCCCGAATCGTCTTTATTCTTCGACAGCGCAATATTTTTTTGGCCATAGGCAATACTGTCGTGAACATCAGGGTCATGTAATTTGCCCAAGGTGACGTGCATTTTCTCTCATACTTTTGTAGGTCTGGTTGAACTATTACGGAAAGCTCAGCAGTACTACTTCAGCTGATAAGCGGGTGTGCCAATGAGACCTACAGTTTTAACCCGCAAAATAGTACTGTTGCACGGTTTTCGAGGAAATATAAAACGGAAATACTTGTAGGCACCATCCTGAAATATGCCGTTGAGATAAATTTTCTGGATACCACCCTGATAAGCGTATTATCCGAATATCTGGCAGTATCTGCACGTGGACAAACATCAGAGTGATATTTGAAGAAAATTCCCAGGGTTTAGAAAATGTGGCATTTCTGTTAATAAAAGTCTGCACCCTGTTAATAAAAGTCTGCTTTGGAACTAAATTCTATATTCCCACAATGGAGATTCTGGACAAATGGATTTCCTCCTTATAAGTATTTTTGTGTTGTTGTTCCTTTTCAAAACTCTTATGGCTTCTTACGTCAATTTAAATATATTTGAAGATCTGTATGAAGGGAGTTTTTAAAACAAATTTTCGATTGATAAAACATACTTTATTTTTTATGAATAAGGGTATTGGTTAACACATTTATTTTCAAAAGTATTTAACCCTGGAAATTTAATTAATACTCTTATAACTTGATTAATTCAGTATTAATTCAGTATGTATGTGCCTTATCTTATCACTTTAACTGAATAAAACTGTTCAAATAGGGGGCAACTCGCTACAAAAATGTTTTTGGCAGTAGACTTCCTTAAACCTCTGTAGTTTGATACCCGTATTGTAATATTTCATTTATTTTATCAATTCCTTAATTGAATACTATCTTTCAAACCGGTGGCAACCCTCCTCAAAAATATTTTTGGCAGTAAATATTCCTAAAACTCTTTGGTTTGATAACCATATTGCAATATTTAATTTATCTTATCAATTAAATCGAATTGAAATTTTCAAAAGGTGGCAACCTTCCACAGAAATATTTTCTACTATAAGTCTTATGACACCTCTTTTTTTGAATGCCATATTGCAATATTTACTTTATCTTATCAATTTACTTAAACTGGAATTTTCAAACAGGTGGCAACTCTCTAATTATTTTTTTCCTATATTTTAAGTTAGACCTTCAGCAATGCATCGGTGTAAACTGCATTCGATTCCATGCATCAGTTTTCGAATGATGCGTGTACAAACATACAGACAGACCGACAAAAATTCTAGAAATTGCTGATTTGGCTTCTGTTGCTGTAATAAAGACACTTGTACGCATAGTATTCTGGGTTTTGGTATAACATAGAACATCCAAAGTTTAATCAAGTCAACCCTATAACTGATAAATTTGCACATTCATGCTTCTGGCATAAGGGTTACGTTATGTATAAATACTACCCTGCCCTCCTTTAGTTCATACAATTTGAAATATTTCTGCTTCAAGATTGTATAAACGAAGTGAAGTGTATGAACTAAAGGTGGGCAGGGTAGTATGTGAAACGAGTGTATATATTTAAGGTGCCGAGATAGACTTATAATTGCAATAAGCAGATGGTCACTCTATCTGCGAAAAAATTATTCTTAGAAAATGTTTATTTGTAGTTATCCATTCAAACAGCCAGAGGCTATTCGAGCCCTCAAAAAAATTCCTAGTCTAGATCAATGAAGGACTGAGAGTAAATAAGTCGCCCAACTGATCTTATTCTCTTCTCTAGGAAGCACAAGATCCTCAAAGCAACTCTTCTTGGGTCTGATCTTGGAGAAGAAGTGGTAAGGAATATGATCTCTCAACCTAAATAATTCCGTGACTCTATGAAACCATAGTTAAGCCCATAAAGTGTATCTCGCGCTAGCCCACTTATACTAGTGATGCTTTTGGGCTCCTATTCTAATCTTCAAGTGCCATTCACGTCCTTGAGTTCCTTAATGGTGCTCTCAAAATAGTTCGGAGAGGGTCGGACCTTCATCTCCTGTGCATCGGACTATTTTCCAAGTATTCTTATGCACTTAGTTATATGGGTACCAGGCCATAGTGGCATTGCAGAGCTGACGAATTGACGAAAAAGTTTACATTATTGATATGGCTGAGCAGATAACGAGTGGGAGCTGCCCTGCCAAACTATAGTTCAATCTTGGGTAGATATGCCCCATGTCAGCTCTGCGAAAGCTGGGCGTAAACTAAGAGCGTAGACTGGGCGGTCAAAGAAGATTATTATGATCCTAAATCCACAGCTCTTGCTTTAGATAGGGGTTCTGACAGGTCGGCCTTCACACGGCAAGGCCAAAAATCTTATCTCGTCCTTACTGCTGAAATTGCCTGAAGAATGATGAGAGCGAATCACTTTCTACTAGGTTGTATGGCTTTCGCGAGGCTAATACCGATGTAAGTATGTATCTTGGCTCGCAGTTTAGAAGCGATATTAGCCGCAATCGCAACTTCGTGATTAGATCATACCCCTACCTATCCTAACATAGCCACCGATTTAGAAATTAGTCTAATTGAAAGAAAATTGGAACTACCAGTCTCCAAGTCTCTAACCTATTAATAGCGAACATCTGAAAATAATGTTGAGATGACACGATTTCTGAAAATAATGTCCTACAACAGACATTAATGCTACTCAATTTCAAATTTACTTAAACTGCACCCTCTTCATGTGCATTCCGCCGACACCTTACTCAAATGTCAATTTCAATTTCAGCGCTTAGGTTAAATTTCCATTTACTTATCTCAGGTTCTCATCATTTCAGATTATTAATTCAATTTCGAACTGAGTGAAACAGCCAAGCATAAAAGGAGACACGGAAGTGTGAAATACGCCGCAACCCAAGTTTCAAATCTACAGTTGCACAAATACATACATACATTTACAAATACAAAACCGCAGACATATTGACAGTTTAGTCGGCAGACACATTTGCCAAGGGTTACAAAGGGAAGTTTGCAAAAGGCAAAGACAACATTTGTGGCAAATTCGTTAAAATTATTTGCATAATTCTGACACACTGCTCGGCTAAATAGAAATCGCACGCCCACAACTAAGTACGTACAATTTACAATTACGAGCGCATAAAAACAAGGAGAAGCGTAAAGCCACCAACAGAATCAACCAAGGCAACAGGATTCTATAAACGTCGGCTCCGAAGGTGAATAGGTGCCACACGGAAAAGCGGCATTCATTGACTATATAACGCAACTGGGGAATGACATAGAACCAGGTAAGTTGGCTGTCACACAGCCGACAATGCTGCCCAGTCATTTAGCAAAAAGAAGAAAGCGTGTACATAATTGTAGAGAAGTGCGCGTTATTGGGTTAGCAGTTAGACAGCGTAATTATTCCCGCTGGGCTTGAAAATATTTATTAAAATCATAAAGTTTATAACAAAGTCACTAAGTCACCGCACATAGAGGACAAATTACGTGGGAAATTGCTGGTTATGAAGCGTAGCAAAAATATTCTACTTAATGGGGAATAGTTGAAAGGGGACATTAAAAAGGGTTGATATGCAAGAAAATTACAAATGAAGACGGAAAGAATACAGAATAATGATGAAATAAGTATCTGTCGGTAAAACTATGTCAGCTTAGAAATAAATAAACGTTTTAAATGGGGGATGTCGACGGAAATAAGGTATAATGATTTAATTAAGTATCCTCAACTAAGAGAAAAACTTTATTTGCCCTTACTTGCAATACAGCCGGTAGTGTTCAGCTAAGCGTGGGCTTTTTGGATTCATCAAGAATAAATTCAATTATGTCAGTATTTTTGCAAAGATAAGACAGCCAACACTCGGACATTATGAAAGTTGATAGAAACTGGAATTTGAGGTCACCGCTGACAACGAACGTTTCACCTACCAACAATGAACTTATATACATATTGGCAGTTTATTTTAAAAGAGGCATAAGTAATTTCCACCTCTTATGCTTAAATGGTTAATCGTAAAATAGTCGAAAAATCAATTTATATCCCCTGAACTACTTAATCGGTTGGAAAATAAATATTGTATAAATATATACATGAAATTTGAGATTGGCCAACTGCATTTAAAACAAAACTGTTGTGTGCACTTTTTTCAGATCTCGAAAACCGAAATTCGGCTATATTTTAAAAACTGTTCTATTTTTTTATAATTTCATTACATACTCAAATTCAGCGGAAAATTTTGCCTAAGAAATTTTGCTAAAATCTCACAGGTCGGAACATTTTTTAATTTCTGTATACTTGTTTAAAAGTATTACAGTTCGGTTCAGTGGTTCTAACTACTTGAAAAAAAAAATACCGGTTCATTAGTATATCTAAACCACGGTTCGGTTTGGCTAAATTTTATTTATACTAACAGGGCCATTTTAGCAAATGTCTTTCAACTCACTACAGCCTTTCGAAAGACAAAAGTCTTTCATAGAAAATTGTCATTATTGGCAATAGTAATGAAGCACTTTTCTGTATATCGAAAGACTAATTGAAGGATTTGCTAACGAGGATGTGTAGGCGTTTTTTGGTTTGTATTTTAGCAATAAGTTTTCTAAAAATTGAATGGCATTACCAAAAAATATGTATACTAAAAGAAAATAAAAATAAAAAATTTAAAAGCATTAAATTTTTAAACAATAAATTAAAATAAAAAGAAGAAATCTGATGAGCAGTTATGCTGATCTTCGAAATTGCAGCAATAGCTTCTACCAATTATAAACTATCGTTTTTTATTCCACAATAATCTTTCTTAAAAAGCGTTCTCCTCAGACTCATTCAAAATTCTTTTATATGATTTTTTATTAGGCCCAACAGAAGCACTAAATAAAAAAAATTTACTTAATTAAATAAGTTCCTAAAAATTAAATAAAAGAAAAACATATACTTTTCCTTTTAAAATAATATGATCTGAGAATGAGAAGAGAATTTAATTAAAAAAATAATTACAAAATCAAAAAAAGCTCCTAAAATTAAATGAATATCAAAACATATTTTTTTCTTTTTTTTTAATAATAAAATCTAAAAATTATAATAAAAGCAATTAAAAAACAAAAACAATTCAGTTAAGAAAATAAATACAAATAATTGCTTTTCTTCTTAACAAAATAAACTCTAAAAATTTAAAGAATATTAAATGAAAATAATATATTTTTCGTTTTAAAATAATAATAAAAAAATAAAAGCAAATTAAATTTCAAAAAATATATATAGCAACAGAACAAAAAAGCTCGTAAACTTAAATGAATTAAAAAAATAGTTTTCTTGTTAAAATAATAAAATCTTAAAATTAAAATAAACTTAAACAAAAGATAAAAATAATTGAGTTAAAAATATAAATATAAGTTTATAAAAATTAAATTAATTTAAATAAATATAGTATAGACACTCAACATCGTGACTTACAGTTTGTTGCCATCAAACAAAAAAATATTAGTTGTCTACCATTTTTAGGTAAAGTTGTGCTTTTAAAACTTGAAAATGCTTTTGTGGATTTTCATTTGGAAGCGAATCATTTTTTGAAGTGGTTTTCGGTTGGTCATTTCAAAATTAAAACGGTTCGGGTGCGAGTTCGAGTCCGAGTCCGAGTCCGGCAAATCTGAACATAGACCACTCGGTGACGTTAGCTGCCACAGGTATAGCTGAACAAATTGCTCTGTAATGGTAGGCACAATTCATCGCCTGAATTTTTCTGTTGTGTCTCAGTGCATGCACAACGACAATTGGCTTTATTTAGCTCGCTAACAGGAATAAAATACAAAACGATAGACTGGCCGATTCCAAAATAAGTTGAAATAAAATAAAACTTTTTATGTCAGTCTTTAACATATGATAACGAGCATTACACAAAAATCTGAGAAAGAAATTCTAAGAATCCGATTCTCTCCTCGGATTTTCATAAAATCTTTATTTAGACAATAAACTTGAATCATTTTTAAAGTTGGCTCTGGCAGCAATTATTATACTATTCGATTGAGGAAGGCCTCAGAAAATGGTGTTAAAGGTACTAAAAAGTCGTAAAGACCCGGTGCTCAAGGATTAAGTATTCATCTCACGAGCTGCCATATACGGCACTTCTGCGAATCCAGCGATTAAAAATAAATTCTAAATCCCCCAAAGCTTGTGCTAAATATTTATTTAAATTTGAAACGTCAGCGCGCTCAAATGCCCTTTTCCGACACTTGCAACTTTTATTTCAATTTACTATTCTAGACCTTTTAGACGCATCATTTATGTATCATCCACATTTATAATAAAACATTTTGTGGGTCGTTTAATATACCTTCGCTTATATGTACTTACACCGCAGTAACACTGCATTATGGCTGAACATCCGTTATGTTAATCTCAACTTACTAAAATGTACACAGAACACAGTCTTATTGAAATATTTACATACCTACATATGTACATACATATTTAAGTTCATATGTACATTCGCATGTACAGTAAGTAAGTATGAGCCCAGAAACTTGTAATTCTACTATTGAATGCAGTTTCACTTATTCCCGCGCAAAAAGTTTAGAAGTGTAGCACTTTAATATGCCATCATTGAACTGATACTAGGAGGTGTATGCATTTGTAACATGCACGTGCATCGTATATGTAACATCCCTGCAAAAAATGGGACTAATCCGGGATGACTCCGGTAGCAATCGCAAAAGAGCATGCGACTAATACCACTTTTGATCTCTTTATATGGAATGAACTGATCGCTTTTGTTCGAGCATGTCCTATGAAGAGACTAATTGTTCACCTTTATACCCGAACGGGTATAAAAAGCGACTAGTCACTTTTAAAAAATAAAAATAAAAATTTGCGCCAGCTGAGATTCGAAACGGGGTGCTCAGTTTTGTTAGTCGAATACTCTCTCTGCGAGCCAACGCCGCGCATGAATTTTCATTGACTAAGTGCGTATATATCATTAAATCGTTAATAGTACCCGTTAGAGACGAGTTGGGGACTAATTGATCTCCAATTATACCCATAAGGGATGAGTCGAGACCAATTGATCTCCCTTAGTACCCGTATGAGACTAGTTGCGACTAATTAATGCCCAATTGTACCCGATTGAGAGCAATCTCGGAATACTCTCTTTAGAGATTAGTCGCACAATTTTTTGCAGGGAAACTACACATAGTACTTACACAAAGAGATGTGCGTTAAGCGCCTACTTATCATATTACACACGGCGTACGAGTAATATCACGAAATGGTAATTTTAACCCATTTTGCAAAAGCCGATGTTACATACATCCGCAATTCACTATTTATGAGCCTACGCATGGCAAATAAACGGTGTAATAGCACACGCTTTAAGCATATAAGTACTACGTATTTATATAGTGAAGCTTTCATTTATGCCTTGAGGTGGAAGCATACACATCTACATATGTACATACAAAAATAGTTACACGTCGATTTGCGTGTTATCCCCTAGAACATAGTGCAAGCACGCTAATATTAAGTTTATTAAGGTCGCCGATAGTTGTGCAGAAAATAGAGAATATGCGAAAAAAACCCTTAACTGTTTACGCTCTCCTTCGAGGGATCACTTGATTACACTTTTGTAATGAGACTTTCACCCGCAACAATTCTTTCCTACTAGGCTCTGCATTTTGTACTAAATTCGTAGGCGCTTTCGACGCCGGATATAAATAATACATACAAGCAATAAAAATGTGTACATTACGTGCTTTTTCTTTCCCCATACACTTTTTCATGTACATTCATATGTACATATATGTATACAGACATGTATATAAAAAGGACTACCAGAACACTTTGCACGTGCAATACCTCCCAGCGGTGCATAAATTCCTTGTTAAACATGAACGACATACAAAGTATTTGGGCGCATTGCTGCCAAAGCTCCAAAGTTGATTGTTGGACAATTGTTTTGGCTTTAGGGTACACCGCAGCTAAGGAAATAATATTTTCGTGCAAAAAGGAAGTAGCAAATAAAAATGCAATAAAAAAGTATTGCAGAGAATGTAAACAACAAAATGTTTATAGCAGAATATTTATTGGGAAAGGTTGTGAAAAGTTCGAAGTGGCAAA